GAAGCGAGAGAGGTACGATTGTTATTAACGCTTTATTTGTTAAAGTGAAACAGTCGCGATGATGTGAATTGCAGATTATCGTGAAGGATTTTACCGCGAGATGCAAGGGCATTGTGCAGGAAGCCATGAAGTGGGCGCCGCAAGCTACCAGGTCGCATCTACAAGAGTACATCAATCAAATACCGTCTTCCGGTATGCGACATCATTCTGGCTTGTCATTGGCCATCGACTCGGTTCTCGAATTTGTGGACACCGCGATCCCCACGGTGGTCCCGGCGAACGTACGTATATTTAAGCGTGTTATGTTATCGGTTTACTTCAGATTTTATCTTAATATTTCATTCTCCTGTTCCACGCATTGTAAATGAAAGCCGCACTCGCTATTTCTTGCATTAACGAAGCGATATGTTTAATAGACAAATTCGTTGGATAAGAGGCCACGCGCGACAAAGGGCGCGAGCTCGTGGCTGCTGTCGATGATGTCTACGAGATCGTGGCACGCCGGCGAGGTGGCGGGTATGCTCGCTCTTGCACGCACCGAATCGCCGACCGTGGAGATAACCGTGGAAGAATGTAGAGATAAGGTCGTCGAGAGGTTGATCGAGGCTGTCCGTCGCGCCTGTCAGGATCGGGACGATACCGTTTATCGCGGAGCTCTTTGGCGTGCTACCGCTCTTTTAATATCCATGCCTGGTAAACTTCAAGTCAACTTGCAGTCTCAAACCTACCTAAAATCGTGGATTGATTTGTCGGGCAATTATTGACGGGCTTCTCTTTAATTTGCACTAATTGGATGTTGCATTTTTAGGTATACATAGACGATTGTTGCACACGGTCGCGTGCTCGCAGATCGAACTGTTCACGACCGCGGCTATGACCACGGCGGTCGAGTGCTGGCAGTGGATCTTAACCGTACGGCCAGATTTGAAGTTGCGCTTCTTGCAAGAGATGTTACTCGCGTGGCAGTACACCGTTGAGAAGAGGATGGGCTTGTTCGCGCCTAACGAGGAGGAGGTCAGTCCGCTCGCGGTCTACGAGGGTTGCAAGCTCGGGCCTAATCCGCCACTCGTGAAACCGCACGATATCTGGGTGACCTTCATAGTGGAGCTGGTCGAGACGGCCAAGTACTGTTGCCAGGAGACGGTCGATATGATCGCCCTACTCCTGCATCGCTCGTTACCCATGACCGTCGGTGCGTCCGGCGAGGAGCCGGGTATCACCCGACACGTCGCCGCGGTTGGCGTGCGCTTTAAACTTCTCTCGTGCGGCTTGGTACTGCTGCAGGGTGACGTCTTACCAAGGTAACAAAACCTCCTTCGCTATCGCGTGAGCGACGACTATGGCAGAAACAAATTATTGGATCTCTTTCGCCAGGACTTTAAGTAAGAACGTCCTGCGAGAACGTGTCTATTCCAATTGTCTGGATTACTTCTGTCGAGAACGTCAGTTGCCGACCCAAGAGCTCGATCAGCTTAGCGAAGACATAGTTACGCTGATACGCTTCTGGCAGGTAAGCTCGTAGCGCGTTAAAACTTAAGGGCCAATTAAGATAGCGATTCTATTTGTAAAAATTATATGAAATTTGTCTCTTTTGTTTTTCAATAGAATACCAGAATTTATTCGCGGTCTACTTACTCTGTTTTACGTATTTCCACAGGTGATGCACAGCGACAAAAAGTACTTAATGATGACAGGGGCCGATAACGAATTTGAGATAGTGGCGTCGCAAACCTACACAACCGCAATGATTCCAAGTGAGACGATCGGTTCGTTAGCCGCCACGCTAGCTCCTACACCGAACGACTTCTCAAGGTCACCCAGCAATGTGTGGATGAGCACCATGCCTATGTCGACCAGCACCAATACACTGAGCAAGCGCAGCAATCGCAGCAAACGAATTGTAAACGCCAATATTCTCGTGAAAGATTACATCAAAAAGAGAAATCTGATTCTCGAGTTGCTAGCAGTTGAGATCGAAATGTTACTGGTGAGTTCTCGACGAGTCGCAAGCATGCAGGGAGCTATGTTTGTCGCAATAATAGAAATCAGCTTCTAAATGTCCGAAATTCTTGTCAAGGTCTGGCGTAATCCCAGCGGAAGACCGGAACTCGCGTTGCAAGGTGAAGGAAGTATCGCGGACTGGCGTGCCAAGGGGATGAACGACCGCTGGCGAGAATATACGCGGCTCGCGTGGGAGATCAGTCCCGTTCTGGCCACATTCCTGCCGGTGCGATTGAAGAATCACGAGGTCATCATCAAGGAGATTTGTGGCCTGGTGCGTCTCAAGCCCGTGCTGGTCATGCATGTGTCGGAAGCGTTGCAGTATCTCATCACGACGGACACGCTTCTCAACGATGTGCCCGAAGTGAGTTTTAACTTAACGCTATGTAAATAATGATTTACGAATTAACCGTTCGATCTCTACTTTATAATCTGTGATATTGATAGGCGGTTGATAAGCGCAGACATAGCGTCGTCTCATTTCTAAAATTTTTATTCCGTTTTAGTTAGTTTATATGTTGACATGGGCAAGAGTGTCCCCGATTCAAGCGCTGGCGTTCTTCTCGCGACAATTCCCGCATCATCCCATCTCGGCGCAATACGCCGTGCAAGTATTGGACAGCTACCCAGCGGACGCTGTGCTTTTCTACATACCTCAGCTAGTGCAAGCTGTCCGCCACGACTCGATGGGCTACGTAATCGAGTTTATTAAGAAGATTGCTAAACGATCGCAGGTAATATTGCAAGACTGAAATCAAGTTGAACATTAAATTGTGAGAAATCCTAATCCTTGGCTCAACGCGCTTCAGGTAGTGGCACACCAATTGATATGGAACATGTACACTAATATATACATGGACGAGGAGAAGCAGGTGAAAGACCTGGTGCTGTACGACGTCCTGGATTCGTTGACGAAGAACATTCTGAACGCCCTGTCCGGCCCGGCGAAACAATTCTACGAGAGGGAGTTTGACTTCTTCGAGAAGATCACCAACATCTCGGGCGAAATCCGGCCGTATCCCAAGGGACCGGAACGCAAAGCCGCGTGCTTGGAGGCTTTAGCGAGGGTCAAGGTACAACCTGGTTGCTATCTGCCGTCGAATCCCGAGGCGATGGTCATCGACATAGATTATCAAAGCGGTACTCCTATGCAGAGGTACGATTGGGTTGATTAAAAAAAGACGACAACGATATATTATAGTGGATTGTATCAGAAAATATTATACAATTGTCTTATAATTACAGTGCTGCTAAGGCGCCGTTCTTAGCGCGCTTCAAAGTACAGAGGTACGGCATCAACGAGCTCGAGAATATCGCGCTAGCGGTATCGACCAACGGGAAAGTCGAGAGCAAGAAAGAGACGGAAGAGCAGACGTGGCAAGCCGCTATTTTCAAAGTCGGTGACGACGTCAGACAAGACATGCTGGCACTGCAGGTGATCAGTATTTTTAAGAACGTATTCCAGAAGGTGGGGCTGAATCTCTTCCTGTTTCCCTACCGAGTGGTAGCGACAGCTCCCGGGGTAAGATAGATACTGATTTCCTATAGCGAGTACACCCTGAATACATATTTCGTTTACAATTATATCTATGTGTCGTCAGTGCGGCGTGATAGAATGCGTGCCGCACGCAACGTCGAGGGATCAACTCGGCCGTACGACGGACAGCGACATGTATCAGTACTTCATCACGCAGCACGGCGACGAGTCGACCAAGGAGTTCCAAAACGTTCGTCGTAACTTCGTCAAGTCGATGGCGGCTTACAGCGTAATCACCTACCTCCTGCAGATAAAGGACCGTCACAACGGCAACATTATGATAGATACGCAAGGTCACATCATACACATTGACTTCGGCTTCATGTTCGAGAGCTCGCCCGGCGGGAATCTGGGCTTCGAGCCCGACATCAAGCTCACCGACGAGATGGTCCTCGTGATGGGCGGCAAGATGGAAGCCGCGCCGTTCCGCTGGTTCATGGAACTGTGCGTGCAGGCCTTCCTCGCAGTTAGGTGAGCGTCATTTCAACGATATTGGCTCAAGATATCATTCTACATATCGCAATAACGAAACAAGATCAACACACGTAAAGACTATCTAGAATTTATACCGATAGTCACTGAAATGCACTCGTGGATATTCTTTATCTTGCAGGCCCTACCAGGAAGCCATCATCTCCCTCGTCTCCCTCATGCTCGACACGGGACTACCGTGCTTCCGCGGGCAGACCATCAAGCTCCTGCGCAGCCGGTTCGTGCCGACCTACACAGATCGTGACGCGGCGATCTTCATGATCAATGTAATACGTAACAGCTACCTCAACTTCCGTACGAAAACTTACGATATGATACAGTATTATCAGAATCAAATCCCCTACTGAACCACTATCGGAAAATTTACTTCCGCCCCCTTTCCCCCCCCATTTCTCTTTCCCGTCCGCGCGATCGTTAATGGGCAAACTCTTGGCGCTCGCCGCGACTGCTAGCGAATTAGAACCAGGTGTCGGTAGAGTTAGAGTCGGTACTCGACGTACTGCAGTTGTTAGATTTCACGGTATATAACCACTGACTGCGAAACTGTACAAATTGGTGTCGATGTTAGCCTCACGTGTATTTTACGAAAGCGTTTAGCCCCTGTATGTATGTAATAATGTATCATAATTATCTACGAGAGATATCGCTTATGTATGTGTATATGTACATGTATGCAGCACATCTGTATACGAGCAACATTCCTGTCCTGTCGTTATTAATTTATGCGCTGTTAATGAGTAAAGATTAAATTACTTTAACCACACGACGACGACGTACTTCAAAATACCTCATTTTACTTGCGGCGTATGTCAATTCTTGGTTGCGATAGTTTTAATCGGACGTTTTCTAAACCTTTAGAAAAAGAATGTGTATACGTTTTTTTATTTCGACTTGCCGTCTCCCGACGTCTTTAGACTTTTATGTGCAATTACTTTCCGTGGGTGCAATTAGCAATTAAACGAACGAGAAGTAATAGCAGTTTAATTTATTCTCTATGTACAGTAGCTAGGCAAGTTCTCTTGCCATCGTGCAATGTTACATCGACGCGAGTTTGCGGCATAACGTAAACGGCTAGACTTGGGCTCTGAGACGTTAAGAGCCCCAATTATAAGTTTTCCCTGGAGTAAAGTGTTTCTTTCCGGTATCGGGCGCCACCCTGAAAGAAGATGTGTATCGCTAATAGTTTTTAAGGTTGTTAAAATTAAAAAGTTAAAGTTAAAAAGGTTGCTTATTCAATGAGAGAGCTTCCACACGCGTATCAGTCCCTCGAACTTTTGCGACAAAAGATACTCGTGTACTGATTTCAAACGCGAACTCGTTGGCACTTGTACTCACTCTGTACCAATTTGCTTCGATCCACTGATCAGCATGGGCGGCTGAACCTCTCGCCTCGCGTCTCGCTGGTAATAGTAGATTTGCGAGGTTTTGTGATACGGGCCGCCCGGCAATTCCGGCGGGGGTTGAGTGCGCTTCGCCTGGTCGTCGGCCCATCTGTGGTGCAGCACGATTTTTCTCTGCGGAGAAGATAAAAATGAAATAAACTAAAAAGTAGCAATGAAACTCGGACGTAGACTTGCCCAAGGAGAACACAAAGTCAGGATGATGTCAATTTGATGTCGTATTGACCAAATTTATGTCCTGGCTTTTTGTTCTCCTTAGGTAGCTACATTTTTAGCGAAAAAACTAAGTAAATACGTTTACAAAGTAACTTTCTCAACTTTGGTAAACTTAGGTCAAATTTTGGTCAATATGGCATCAAATTGACCAAAATTTGGTCAATACGACATCAAATTGACATCATCCTGACTTTTTGTTCTTGGGTAGCTACATTTTTAGCAAAAAAACTATGTAAATACTTTTATAAAGTAACTTTCCCAACTTTGGTAAATTTATGTCAAATTTTGGTCAATTTGGCATCAAATTGACCAAAATTTGACACAAACTTGGTCAGTATGACATGAAATTGACATGATCCTGGCTTTTTGTTCTCCTTGGGAGGTTACATAATTGGAGCGAGGGTCGTTGCTTACGCCTCGGCAGATTTCCCGAAAGTATTGTATCAGCGGTGTGACACTCCGGTGCTCGACCGGGCCCGGCATGCTTCCCCCGTGAATCGACCGACTTGTCAGGAGACAATTAAGCTCGGCACGGCATTCAATCCGGCAGTCGAAGGGCCGAGAGTTAACCTGAGCGAGTCAACGTTGACAAACACACTGCGGATCGACCGCTCGATTCAGCTCGATTGCTCGTCCCGCGCTCGCAATCGATAATCGAACGATGCCGCGTATTTCTCTCGTCGAAATGTCGCGTCAGCGGGGCGTCCGTGAATAATTTCGCAACGGTGAGACGCGAGGACAAAAAAATCTGCCCCCTTTTCCCTTTCGATACACGAAGAACGGGGATGAGTTTCAGGGGCGGCCAAGCTACGGGGATTTTTTAACAACCCCGTCGAGCTGCGATCGGCGATCGAGAGTCGGAGTTTAGCCCGAGGTCGCCACGCATCGTAAACACGATGGCGAGCGGCGGCGACGGCGAGCGCCGATGGCGAATCACGTTGGCTCGCCGGCGACACGCTGACAGGGAAGCTTCCGCGACGAGAGCGGCGTCGAGCGCGAGCCGGCGAAGGGATCGAAGGAAACGGGCGCCGTGGACGCGACGAGCGTCGAACCGGTCGCCGGCTGCGAGAGCGCGGTGGCGCGGGAGAGAGCGGCGGGGAAACAACATATGGAGGCGTTCGAGGTGTGAGTGCGCGTGTGTGTGCGTGTGTGAACGAGCGTTCCTCGGGCTCGAGGTGTCCACCACGGGCGAGGAAAACAGGTCGGGACGGCTCGTCGCGTCGCACGTTCCCCGATCCGATCTCGATCTGCACAGCGGACGGCTAGGCGACGACGCGCAGGCCGCGTTCGAGATATAGGTTAGAATCGCGCGGTCTGATTGCCAACAATTGACGCATTGATGCCCAGCGTGCGTGAAACCCGTGTCAGACTGCGGGCCGAGACTGACTACGTTTCCGCCGAGGGTCAGAGTCGGGCCAGAATCGGGTTGGGGTGAGCGTTTTTGCGGTGGAAACACCAAACCCCAACCCGATTCTGGCCCGACTCTAGCCCGACTCTGACCCTCGGCGGAAACGTAGTCATTGAGATTAGATTGTAACGCGAGCGATCGATTAAATACTGGCCGAACCTGAGATTGGTGATTTTCAATCGAATCTCAATCGCGAACGCGTTACAGCGAGAACCACTGGACGCGCTGGGCAACGTGGAGATTGCTGTAAACAGTCTGTTGTGCGGCGGTTGAGAGAGTGGCCTGCGGTTGCGGTCATTTTAGACTCGCGTCCGATTACATCTGATTGTTCTTGCGAGCACGAATTTATTGTGTCACAGTAAAAAGTCTAGCACTGTAGTCAAACTTTTCCACTTGCGTTGAATTAGGTTAGGATCCGTGGCAATTGTGTGACGGTAAGAGACGTAGCCTGGAATGGTGGTCTGATGTTTGAGCTCTGCCGGATTATGTTAAGATCTGATTGTCATTGCGATCATTGATTCGTTAATACCTGCTGTTACAGTGAGAACTGTGGCTGTTGAACGGGCGAACCTGCGGTTCGGGTGTGCGTTAGATCGCACACAGGCAAGCCACTGGTCGGTGCTGCACTGTTCACTGTCCACTTGCCGCCTGCGTTAAAAGTACACCAGCATGTTGACGGAACAGAACGTGATTATGGAGCTGGCCGACTCCAGTGGTACGATACCAATTGGTTTCATCACTACAGAAGATGGACATACATTGCTGGCAGTGGGCGGTAAGGCGATAGAACTTTAGAAGAGATCTCGGACTGTGTACACAACTTTGCAACCATAACGCGTGTACTCTGCAGCTTTGTATACGCAATAGTCAAAGTTGTCTGCACATTTAGAGTATCACGTTGTATCGATAATGTATTAGGCTTGTCGAAATTGTAATTTAAATGAATAAGTAGCCAGCGAGGCTATCTGACGAGCGTGTATGTGTCCTGCTTATGCGAAACCGCTGAGAATTTGATTCTTTCCAGAACACGAGGACGGCACGCTGGAATTCATGGCGACGCCAGTCGCGCTGATGCCGCAAAATAACATGGTGTCTCAGGCGTTGATAAAGACTGTGGACGGGAGTTTTATTTTACATCCAGTACGTGCACTTGATCGTATCGCGAAAGCGTCGAGCAACATCGCGACGTTTCATTTGCTGGACGTGACACGCGCTTCTTTGTTTCAGCCCGTTTTCCAATTGAACGTGGATGGTCTGTCGGGGGCTGTGATGCAGCAAACAAACCTGCTGCCACTGATTCAACATTTGCAAAACGAATCTGCCATCGCGGAGCAGTCGAAAGCGCAGGATGCAAACGAATGTGGAATCGCGGAGTCTCTGTTATCTGTCAGAAATAACAGCAGTGTGTTATTAGACAAAGGGCAGTCAATAGCTGACAGTCGTGCTAAGAGCGAATCCACGCCTGTATCTCTGATGCAGAATGTCTACAAACGGTCTCCGGGGAGACCGAAAAAGACTGGAGCAACTGCGCAAGTACGTTAATATTACTGGTTGCACTATTGCAACAGCATATTCCTGAGACCAAATCAAGTGAAAAAGTCCTGTACTACTTTTTCCTCCGACAAACAGTTATCGATGTATCATAAGCTAAACATTGGAAAAGTTATAAATTTTCTCTTGAACATCTCAAAAAGTGCTAGGCAAATCAAAAGATGCTTTTAGAGCGTGCTTGAAAAAACCATTGCTGGCAAACTTAAAAATCTCAAATGTTTAAATTCAATTGTATTATACAGCTGTAAATTATTCTCATCGCAGAGTCGTATATTATTAATGTTTTGTCGTAGAATGCGCAGTCTCTGAAGTGTGATATCTGCAGGCAGGAGTTTACTAAACAAACATTGTACCGCAGACATATGGAAAATCATGCCAAAGAGAAACGGCATAGATGTCCCAAATGTCCAGCATCGTTTAATATCCCAGTGAGTCCTTTTCTTTTCTATCAACGGGCTTTTTATTAATCGTCTCGAGAATCTCATAGTTACGTATGTATCTTAACAAAACGAACATATGTGACTGTACTCGTTATACAAGTCACTTTGAAAGTTTCAATTAATTTCAATTACTGTACACAGCATAGTGAGATTATATCAAACAAAGAATAGATAAAAATAATGATGAGATTGCTAAAACGTATATCTAGATAATTTTTTTTAAATAAATCCGCTTGATTGCCGGCTCATCTCTTTGTGGAATTAGATTAATAGTAAGAGAAAGTTGCCCCTCGATCTTGAATGTAATAATCGGATTCAGTCTGGTAACTTCGTACAATGGCATCGTTACAGACAAATTTCACGCTTCATATGGCAACGCATAATATCGGCGACCCAAAATGCCCCGAATGCGGTAGGAAATATGCGAGAATGGCGAGCCTCAAGTCTCACATGTTGCTGCACGAGAAGGAGGAGAATCTCTTTTGCACGGAGTGCGAGGACGCATTTTCGACGAAGGTAAGTTTGCAATTTATTCACTTTGTGATTTTTTCGTACGTATAAGCGCAATTCCTTTCAACGTGCAAAACAACGGAGCGGTCGGTACTTCTGTATACAATTTCGATAAGCGGCAGGTCTTGAAGCATCAATCTGGCGATTTTGAAACAGTCTGTACGAAAGCTGTATCGCGCCAAGATTACCTTATCGATGCTCGGTTCTGCCGGCGCATTTCTGCTGATCGCGCGGACCGGCCTACCGATAACATTCATCATTGCGAGTACGATACGTATATAATTATTGCGGCTAAGGTCTAAACTGCCGGCTGCTTTGCCTCACGTTCGCTCACTCGTTCCTCAATTGATCCACGTGCCCGAGTTGGACGCTCATAAACCTCAATTGATAACACAAATTGTAATTACCTATTTAACGCGCGCGAATCTATTTGAAACGTAATTTGTTTTGCAGCCATGAACGGCCGGCAAGAACTTATTTATTATTAGAATTCAGCGAACAAGCTTGGTTCTGCTGATACAACGACTCGATATAAAGCGGATCTTAATGTTACTCCCATCTAATCAAGGGTCGATCTCGGTGACCCGCGACGATTTATTTGCGCGCCGCCAGCCAGCCAAAATCAAACGATCGTAGAAAATAGGAACCCGCGGCCCTCTCGCCGTACGTCGGATCCCCGCCGCGGTCAAAGAAATAGAGGAGATGATTTAATAATTCCCCTCGGTGCTCTCGAAGATTAAGAGGACATTATCTCATAGCGTCGTCAAAGTATGCCAGCGATAATCGGCCTTGCACACTTCGCAGGCATCAATGATATTTAGCCGCTTCTTTGCTACGTGACCGTAAAAGTATCTGTATAATAATTAGCGTCACCAGCAATAATTCGCAGGGAATGGAATTAATGAATCACGCATTCGAGACAACGCGCCTGTCCTCGACCGAGAGTTTTAGTCGATCAGCAGACGAAAGCAAGTGCATTTTTGCCGGGGGAAGACGTCTTCGACGTAACGTTGCGGCCCCGAAACGTTCTCCCGAGTTCACGAAGACAGTGGGAATTCGTCGGGATCGCCGCCGATCGTCGCAGCGATCACGCGTTGACCGTGATAGCAACGTGGGCTGTAAAACGTGGGACAAGTGGGCGGCGACAGCGGCCGTATTAATGGAGCGCGCACGAATTACGCAACCGAATCGCATGATCTCACACAGATCTCTCGCCGATTGCCCTCCGCCGTTTGGTCGCCGACACGCGCCGCACGTCCGCGCGAGACCGAAATGTGGAACGGACTCCGGGAAGCGTTGCGTCGCGCATCATCCGCCCCGACCAGTGCATTCGAGTATATACAGATATTTTAGGCGCAAGAAGAACGCAAAGAATATCGTGGATGTGTCACGACGGGATTGCAAGCTTGAGGATTCGGTTTATGTAAAGGAACACCAAGGAGATACGAAGTGACGCAGGCATCTTAATTTTTATTGAAATTTAAAGACACTGTCAGCATGGAAAAATATACTTGACGAAGGCTAAGAAAAAATGTGAACCTTTGGGGATAAAAGACACAAAGACGTGTCGAAGAAACAATTATATTTATAAGGAGGAAAGGGGTAAAGTGAAAGAAGACTAAAAAAGATGCGGAGCAAACTCTCGCCGTGTAGAGACGGCGCGGATTTGAATTTCAAGCTGTTAGATCTAATATGAGTCGTCTGCTGTGACATTTCTCGGATGAATCTCAATGCGAGTCGCGGAGAGAAAGGAGAACCGATAACGATGACGACGAGTATGATTTCGACGACGACGTAAGCGACATTTACGGTCGCTTCGTCAGTGAGCAGCGGGTATTCGCGAAGCGTGCACGTGCACACGCGCTTGTCACCCCGAACTGCCGAACGTTTCGTTAAGGTCGAGGGATACGCATGCATCACTGGGCCGCGAGAATTTACATTTACTTCTCGGCAAGATCGCGTCGCCACCATTCGGTCTCCCCCTCGTTAAATTAATTAGGGAGTGTGTGTTGCGTGATGCGCTGATTAAATCGGGTCGCACCGTTGGAATTCACCGCCGAAGAGATAAAGAGGAGTCGAGAATCAAACACGGAAGTATTCAAACACGGAAGTAATTCACACGCGGAGTGAACTATTTCCTTACAAGAGAGCAATTCACACTCGATTCTCTATTATAATTTCGCTGATATTCGCAGTCTATCGTCTTCTACCAAACATCGGGGAAGAATTTCTCCTCTTGAAACGTAGCTTACGGTTTTTACACGCCCGTCGACGGACTCGTATATTTTTTCTGGCGTCGGACTTGAAAGGTCTTCGAGGTGGTCCCCTCGCCTTTCCCCGAAAACTTCCAAGTTCGTGATAGAGGCCGTGCAGATGGTGTCTCCTTTTAGTACTGCACGGTGCGTGCGACACGTGAAACGAAATTTATATATTAAAACGAAACAAAGGGGGAGAAAGGCTCGGGGCGTAAATAATTGACGTGCGTTTTTGTTGCTCAGGTGGAGTCGGTGCTCCTCGATGCGTCTCGGATTTCGGATTGATAGCCCACGGCGAACGTGCGCCGGCAGGGGATAACGAATGCAAAACGAGCTCGCGAGGGAGGCAGAAGTAGACGGCGGAAAGGAAGATTCGCCGGGCGAAATAAAAGTGCCGATAATGCGACCGCCGTTGATAAGAAACGAACCGTTGAACTTTACCGGGAAGAGTGAGGATATGTAGCCGCCGTTCCGATGATAACTTATTACTAGTAGCATTAACCCTGAAAATCGCTCGATTCTCTGTCGTGAAGTCGCTCGTCCTAAGCGACATTTCGATCAGTCGCGCAACTGGATTGAGATAATATAAAAACGTCGGTCGTGCGCTGTACTTCTTCGAGGTGTACGGAGGATCAGGTTTTCTTCGCGGAAGGAACCCAACTCTCCGAGCGACAGCGTGATCTTTTGCAAAGGCCCGCTTCACGCTCGTGTTTATGCGCGAAGCAATAATAATCTGACTGCGTTGAGGAAGATGCGGACCAGAGAGAAGCGATCGGCGAGATCTGCGGCGGCGTGGGGAACGCCGGTGGGAAAGAGAGCGATTTAATACGGGGAAACCGATGACGCTTCCACGAGGCTGTATTTTCGGAACTCCGTCCCTTGGGAACGCCGTCGATCCTCCACTTCCTACTCTCAGTCTCCAGTCATTCGCGTCGTCCGCGTCCGTGTGACACTTGACACGCCAATTGCCCGCTGTGCCACGATTCGCCCTGCCCGGATCGTCCTCGTCTCCGAATGACGAGGGGGAAGATGCGCTGGGAGGAACAACAGAGCTGACTCTTCCGCCTTTCGGCCCAGTGGGATTTCTCCAACTTTATGCGTCTTTACTAAAAGCTCGTCGTTCTTGACCTCGTTGATTCGTTCCCTTCGACATCGATTCTCGTCCAGAATAGAGTGTTGCTTTATGTGAATCTACGAGTGTTTCGTGGAAAGAAGGGACACGTAAGAGAGTGGTTTTTCAATGGCCAGCGAGGATGCGCTCTCCTCAAGGGTGGGCGGTGTATCGAAGCCGGAGGTCGTTTCCTGAATCGCCACGTCCGACGTGATTAGATGTCCCGTGTGTTGGTGATTGAATACGCTTCGCTATAAAGAATCGCTGCAACGAAGTACATATCCGTCGACCCAATCTAGATTTTTCTTTCGGGTGCTGCCAGCAAGTGCGATAAAATCCAGGATCACGGAAGAGATTTTTAATCTCGTTGCCGCTTGTGCACGTTTTATTAGATTGTTATTTCTCTGTTAATGATCGTGAATGATTATACTGCGGCAAACCGCGTGGTGCCCTATAGATTTATGGAATATTTTCCAAAAATACTTTCGTCGCACCTTCAGTCTTTCATGTAAGAGTCGCAAAGATAAAAAGAGCTTTCGTTATTCTCGTGTGGAGTATTGCCAGTCGGAAAATATTCGCCTATTCGTAAACTTTTAACGGATTTACGGAGTATGCCGTCTCAAGTTTACTTATGCAGATCGCCAGTTCGTCCCGTGGCGTTTGTCGGCGGCATCTGAGGAATCCGAGATGCGAGCGGCGTGCTTGTCATTGGTGAACCGAGATATCGTCGTCGCGAAGGAAGTGCTACTCGAAAGAGAGAACAAGACGCACGGAGAGGAAACGGGAGGTCGCAGGCGGAAGAGGAAGAAGAGTACGGCGATTCGCGGGCGGAGAGAGGAAGAAGAGAGAACTAGAGGGAGAGGAAGACCGGGCGTCTTTGGGAAGATCAAAAGGGCGAGAGGAGAGGAGGCTGGCTACCGCTAACAGTGCCGGAAAAAAAGTGCAATGTCCTCCTGCGGAGGCGCGATGCGCGTGAATTGAGAGAGCGCAATCTCCAAATCTCGTGTTGATCCCGTCGCCAGCTCTGGATGCCGCGAGGGGAAAAGGAAGAGGGAGAATTTTATTACGTGCGCGCCGCGAGATGAAACTCATTGAGGAAAGTTAGAGAGGAGAGATACGGAAGAGAGGGACACAGGGAGAAAGGAGAGACGAGACGCGAAAGAGAATTAGTATATGTTTTGATATGAAATCCCCCGAAGGAAGATAGGCCAGAGGAGAGTAGCGGAAGAAAGTGTCGAGAGAGGAGAGGAAGAAAGGGAGAGTGGAATCCGGAGTTCTTGCAGTCGTTCGGCTGTCGCATCGCGAAATGCGACCACCAGGTGGACCGATGCGGCGAAGCCGCACGTGTAATTAAACGCTTGACGAAGTAGCCTGATCGTCGAGACGTGTAGACTGATCTTCAGTTAACTTCGCTCCTTCTCTTTCTCGGTATTCTCTAACGCTAGATAATGGGACACGCTGCGAGCGAGTCTGGATTTATCGCCCGACACGCGACTCATTAGCGGAATCCTGTGTTCGCACGATTCGATTTACTGTCGAGACGTGATAGCAATAGTCAAATTTCGTGTTCAATGTTGTGTTCACTTATTATCGGCGTCGGTACTGCGTTTCCTCTTCGAAACGACCGTTCGGCAGCCACGATAATTCGGCGGGTCACCGCGTTGTGTTCGTCCTACTTTTTGCTCCAAGCACTGCCATATAAGTACCCACTGCCCGCCGGCGCGTATTACTTTATGTTACACGACGTAATCCGAGCCACAGTGCCGTCTTCCGATATGTCGTTCGCCGTAGACTGCCTGAATTTCGCGCTTCTCTTCATCTGCACGCGCGTGTTCCATCTCGCGCTTGGTATCAGCGCTCAGTATTATAAGGTACATCACTCTCAGTAATCCCTAAACTTTTCATTGAGTTTGCTGGACACCCTGATTATGTAAAACAGATAATAGAAAATAATTTTGAAATCGAGTATAAGTCCGACCTTTTCCTTTTCTTCTTTTTAAATGACTGATTATCGCGCCGAGGATCCGAAGAGTCGATCGGAACGTTCGCTTCACATTGTAACGAATTTTACTTCGTTAAAATTGCGCACTAAGCCTGGCTCCTTTTTATGCTCGAGTTTGTATATATTCGAGGAGCCTTACTTTCAATATTGATGAAATCATTTATATAACTGCTATAAAGATCTAAATGATTTTTTATCGCTTGTATCACAACAGGGCCAGTTGGACGCGCACTTGAAACTTCACGGAGAAAAGTGGGCGAGCGAGGATGTGCGAAAGTGCAAATTATGCAACAAACAATTCGTCCAGCCCGCGCTCTACCGGATGCACATTCGCGAGCATTACAGGGTAAGTAGGAAGAATTTATTAAGTAGTTTATTAAATTTGTTTACCGTTGATTGGATAAGTGGATCAATGACACTGGCGATGCTCTTTTATCATTTTTCCTTTTGCGCAGAACCGCAATAAAAGCTTTCCTCTTTGCTTCGTCCTTTTTTTTCCCCCTGGAAGCGCTGTCACGCTTCTAGTAAACAGGTCGCGTTTGTGCCCGAGAGTCTTATCGCGTTTATTTCTCTACAGCTACAGACGAAGATAGTAAAGCAAACTAAAAGGGGAACGAAACATAAAACAATGTACAAGTGCACCATATGCCTGAAGATTTTTCAAAAACCGAGCCAACTGATGCGGCATATCAGAGTACACACCGGGGAAAAGCCCTTTAAGGTAAACGTTTTGCGGACGAAATTCATTAACGATAACACTTGGAACAATGGACTCATACATAACGCTTTTCCTTGTGCAGTGTACCGTCTGCAGCAGGGCGTTCACGCAAAAGAGTTCGCTACAAATCCACATGTGGCAACACAAGGGCATTCGGCCGCATACCTGCAGCCTCTGTAATGCCAAGTTCAGTCAGAAAGGTTGGGGGAATTCGTCATTAATATTATTATCAAATTGTTGTCTCTGAATTGATAATACATCGATGAGAGAATGAGCCTAGAGAGAAGCGCGAATGCATTACACAGTCTACTAGAAGATTTTATTCTACATTTTTGTCATTTTTGCACATTATTTTTTTCACAGAAATCATCCCTCTTGGTTATATCAGTTCAGAAACGGTGTTGTCTATGTGCCGCGAGAATCATACGAGTCTCAAATCGCTGCGAGTTTTACCGTTTCGTTTTTTTTTTCAGGAAATCTAAAGGCGCATATACTCCGAGTGCACAATGCGCCAGAAGGTGAGCCCACGTACGCATGTTCCTATTGTTCCTGCATCTTTAAGAAGCTGGGCAGTTTAAATGGACACATAAAGCGAATGCATTCTGTTTCCTCGGAGGTGAGTGCGTTACTCGTTACGCGGGCTGATTCTGACAAGAGTTTCTAACAAACGTTACGCCCGTTTAGGAATCTGTCGCCAAGTCCTCGGAAGCTAATTCCAGTATCTCGTCGGAAGCTGACATGCGCGCGACCGTCGACAGCGTTATATCGCAATTGGCATCTTTGGAATCAGTCGTGAACAATACCGCAGATCCCACAAGAACTGCGACGCTGAGCGCGGAGCAGAATGATATCCTGCAACAAGCATTGAAAAACAGCGGCCTGCCGAACAAAAACGAGGGCACTTCGAAAGGTAATATGAATATAAAATGTTCTATAAGTATAATTTTCTGCGGGCGTTATTTACTTTGAATAATAAATGTCTATTATTTCTTTGTTCGTAGAAACAGCAGAACCGAAGAAGACGAATTCGCCAACGTCGTATGTCACGCTGTTGGACAGAACTGCTGGTGGTACTTCGAGGTAATAATTCCACATTCCACGGGGAACGTAAAATTGTGACGAAAAGTAGATCGGCAATTGAAAAAAATACACACGACCATTAAGCGGAATGAACGAAATTTTAGATTTTGCGTAATAAACTGCTATCTAACATTCGCAGGAAGTATCTCACTATAAAACAACGCTGCGTAGGAAACGTACGGTGGTACGCGTGTTCGTTCTGCCCGAAAGAATTCAAAAAGCCGTCGGACCTGATACGTCATTTGCGCGTGCACACCCAAGAGAAGCCCTTCAAGGTAATTAAAATTTTATACCGCTCGAAAGTACACGCAGATCGCGGTGTATCGTCTGATTTATTCCGCGTCTTTCAGTGTATGTATTGCGTGCGTTCCTTTGCGCTAAAGTCGACGATGATAGCGCACGAGCGGACTCACACCGGAATGAAGAAATACACCTGCGATTCCTGCGACAAGACCTTCGCGTGCCATAGCAGCCTCACCGCTCACACGAGGCAAGTTTCAACGTTTAAGTCGTAACTCAATCCTTTTGCATGCGTATTTATCTTACCCCTGCTTGGTTTCTTGCACAAGACGTAACTAGGCCAATGCGAATGTTCATAAAAAAATCGTTTTTCCCATTTCAGATTACACTCGAAACACAAGTGCAACATATGCGACAAGTCGTTTAGCACAAGCAGCATCCTGAAAAATCACATGAAGAGCCACACATGGGAGAAGCCCAAGATATCGCCGGAAGTGGAGAGCCTGGTGCCGCAGGTGGTACTGCAAGAACCGCTCGTCATCAGCGACGCCGGTAATAAAATCAGTGTAGTGCAGGTGCAGTCGAAGCAAAAACAATTGTGCGAGAACGTCGGTGTGGCCAGGCCGCACGAGTGTTGGGTCTGTCACATGGCGTTCAGGAAAGTCAGCCACTTGAAGCAACATTTTCGCAGGCATACGGGCGAGCGTCCTTACAAGTGCTCCAAGTGCGACAGGTTCGAGATCTGACGTTTCTACGGTTTAATATCGGAGAGATCAGAGGATCTCTTTCAGTATAAAAATTAGATCAATCTATTTGCTGCGTGATTTAACTTTTAATATATCTTACATTTTGCGTATCGCAATTAGAATGCATACGTTTCCTGGTTTGCAGGAGATTCACGTCGAACAGTGTCCTGAAATCTCACCTGCATACGCACAACGACGCGAGGCCGTACAGTTGTGCAGTATGCGACACGAAATTCTCCACGCAGAGCAGCATGAAGAGGCACTTAGTCACGCATAGCAATAAAAGGCCGTACATGTGTCCGTACTGCCAAAAGACGTTTAAGACGAATGTCAATTGCCGGAAGCACATAAAAAGGCACAAGCACGAGCTTGCGCAACAGGTTGGTACATTTAAAATATCCTCCGTAGAAAGTATTTAAAAAAAATATTAATCTCGTACGCACGAACAGCAATTGGAAGAACAAAAGACGCAGACTCGGAAGGAGCCGCAGCCTTTGAGCGAGGATAAAGGAACTACCTCAACGTTACCGGAGAACATCACTCTCACCGAAGATATAGAGGTCTTCCAACCGCAAATGGCACCAGACTTTACGCAGGCCTTCTCCGATCATTTTCAGAATATCGGCACGGAGAAAGAGAAGTCCTTTTTACTGGCGGACAACGAGACGCCGTCGATGGTGAATCGTATGTTTTCCAAAAGATACAGATCTTTATGTGCAAAATTTGGCAGCTAAATAAAATCAGGTATGTAGAAATCGCCGAGAATTAAATCCTATGTATGATTTCAGAAAATTTGTCCGTCGACACAACTAACTTGGGGACGTCGCAATCACTACACGCCGATGAAACCGGTACTATCACGTTACCTCATTACTCAGGGGACCAAACTCTCACACCGGTACGTGACCTCGGTATTCATTATAAAACATAAGAAATCCATGAATGCATTGTAACATAAAGAAAGATGAGTAAGACATTCGGGAAATTTTATAGGAAAGCATACGAGAGATCGAGGAGACACTGAATCAGCAACTATTTAATATCGGCATGAATCTTGGATTGGGAGCGAACAATCTACCGAGGCAGCTGGACGAGACGAACACGAGTTCTCTCAGCAATTCCAGGGAACAACCGGTGCTCAATATTATATACGAGCAAAGCAAGACTCTAGAATCGTCAGGCAATACCATATTCATGTCACAATTTGACTCGTTTGATATGAATCAAATTACACTGCAGGTGAATGTCTTTTCTGCGATATGATTTTAGAATTAGGTATATTAATAGAGAACCGTATGTTTCAATAAAATATTAATATTTTAAATGTTTAATTTGAAATGATTAATAATCGATTTTCCAGACTGACAACGATATAGACATCGGTCTAAATCCGAGCAACTCGACGAGTTTGTCGAGTATCTTGCCGAGATCTGTGGGAAGCAACCAGCAAAAGGAACAACAAGCCGCACCAGTTTCCACCGTCAGCGATATAGACACCTCTCAAATTACGAGGAACACTCATCTGGTGGTAATAAATCCCAAGGAAAATTGTTCGGAATTGGTGTCGCAAGTGTGCTCGTCCTCGAAAGTCATCGCGAAGGCGGACACCACAAATGGATCCGAGTTACAAGTCACGAATGAACATGAAAAGACGATGCAGAAAGGCAATGCTGTGTTGTGCGAGAACGAAAGAAATCCTTTGTTTATGTAAGTTATTTTAATTCGTGTGTCCAACCATTTTGCTAGCAAATAGTTGAAAACTATGCGATGCTTGTAGGAAGAATTTCCAGAACGCATTACAATCCGAGACGCTTGTTTCTTCTGGCATGGACAGCTCGGCGGAGTGTAACACTCTGCTGCAATGTCACATGTGCGGCGATCAAGGTTTCACTACAGAGAGACTCAAGGTACGAGAAATATTTCCTAGATATTTGTACACTCCAACGCATAACATTGCAATTACTTTCTAAAACAATAAGATTAATATAATTCTCACAGGAACACCTGAAATCTCATCGCGGTGCCAAAGAGTTTGAGTGTGCGGAATGTTCTCAACGATTCTGTACTAACGGCGGTCTCACCAAGCATATGAAGTTGCACACGAATAAGCAGTGAGTGAATTAATTGACATAACAATGAGAGATGTCTCTCAAATGCAGCTCAAGGTAAAAAGCCGCGAATTGTTTTCACACAGGCGGTGGAAGTGTACAACCTGCCAGAAGATACTGGGCAGCAAACTGCAATTGAAATTTCACAGCAAAACGCATAACGAGGCATGGAATGTTTCATCCACGGAGCTGAACAGCTCTCACAAGGATCTTATCTCCTCGAACTCCGGTCTGTCGGGGATAACGACGCTGGATGTCCGAGTAGATCCAAACTCGTCGGTGTCCGAGAAGGTTTTGATGGATGCAGTCGCCGAGAGAAAAAGCATGGACCGCGCTGATGTAAGTACACACAAATATCTGCATTGGTTCGCAAAGTCTCGTGTTGCGACGCAATCATTGTATTGTCATTTGACCGTTCAGGAGAACGTGGAGAAGAAGGAGACGAGGGAGTACACCAATAAATGCAAATACTGTCCGAAAACTTTTCGAAAACCGAGCGACCTCATCAGGCACATTCGCACGCACACGGGCGAACGACCGTACAAGTGCGAGCACTGCAGCAAGAGCTTCGCGGTCAAGTGCACTTTGGATTCGCACAGGAAGGTTCACACGGGCAAGAAGACGTTCTGCTGCCACGTCTGCAGCAGCATGTTCGCTACGAAGGGCAGTTTGAAGGTCCACATGCGATTGCACACGGGTGAGAGTTATTTCTTAAATTATTTCGCGTGTCACAATTCAGCGAGAATAATTACAGCGTAAGAAGAATCAGTTCTTGCTGTTTGTGTATTTTTATTTGGAAGTCTTAAACATTAGACATATGTGTCTAAATATGGGGATCTTAGCTCGAAGAAAAATGATAATTCATAACGTTTCAAATTTTCCAGGCTCGAAACCATTCAAGTGTCCCGTGTGCGATCTCCGATTCCGCACTTCGGGTCACAAAAAGGTGCACATGCAGAAGCACGTGAGGGAGCATAAGGGTGGCGCGAAGCGCAAGCCGAAACATTCCAAGATCGCTGCGGTGGCAGAAGCGGCGGCCAGTCTCGAAAAAGTCGGCCATAGTTCTCTGAACGATGCGTCGACGACGACGACGACGACGACAACAACGATGACGAATCCTGCCATGCTCAACGATGAGGCCGCGCCATCGCAGAGTCTGGATTATCCCGCGTTGGAGCAGACGATGAATCTCGGTGCCACGGTCCATCTGCCGAATCAAATTGCGTTCAACCACGCCGACGCGACGACGGCGACGATTCTCAACAACAACTCCCTGTTGTCCGTGAACGAGAACAACGAGCTGGTGGCGAATCTGCATTTCCTATTGGCGAACGGTCTCGTCACCATTCAAACGGACGACACCCTGCTGACGCAGCCAGCGACAAACGGTTCCGACGCCACCGGCGCCGGAATGCCGGCCAACGTCATCGAGTTAGTCAATCCGGATCCGTTCCAGGAAGCTTGCAATCTGGATAATCACATGGTGATAACCAGCCAGGTGCCGACGGAGACGACGGTCGCGGACGCCAGCAACGCGACAGTTATTCAGATGAACAATTGCATGCCCCCTGTGTCCGTACAGATACAGACTCAAGACACCGGCGCCGGAGTTTCTGAAGCGAAGACGTGCGATCAAACGATGACGACAATGACGGCGACGCCGGCGGCAATGGCAACGGCAACGACGACGGTGAAAGCTTCGACGCAGCCTTCAAGGAAGGAGTGCGACGTGTGCGGCAAAACGTTCATGAAGCCTTATCAGATGGAACGGCACAAGCGCATTCATACGGGCGAGCGGCCGTACAAGTGCGAGCAGTGCGGCAAGTCGTTCGCGCAGAAGTTCACGCTGTACCTGCACCAGAAGCATCACACTGGTGACCGGCCGTTCTCCTGCCCGCACTGCAAGCACCTGTTCACGCAAAAGTGCAACCTGCAAACGCATCTGAAACGCGTCCACCAACTGGTCATGCTCGACGTCAAGAAGCTCAAGAGCGGCCAGCAGATGCTGGGAGCGCTTCTACAGGACAATCAAGGCGGCGATACTAAGCTGCTAAACCTGGACGATATCCTGGTGGTAGATTTTCTCAAGTGAACGTCTTCTACAAGATCCTTGAAGAAGTCTCTCCCTTCGGGAGGATCCAACGCGATTCGAGCAAATTGCCCGTACGTGTGTAATATAATGTACTAATAAAAAATGTGCCGCAAATGAGTTTATCGGTGACTAAATACTACGCTTCCGAATGAGAAACAGATGCGAAGGAAAAGACTTCGAACGTTAAACAAATGACCCAAGCTGTGATGTATGTTTTGCGTATCGCTAATGCTGTAACATTAAGCTCGAGATGTAATTTAATACCGTTCGTTTAGTCGACTATTGTTGTATTTTGTATCGCTGAGCTACGCATATCGTAAAGTTGTTGCATGAGAATTTTTATTTCAGAACCGCCATTTATCTTTCTTCAAAATAAAACACTGTTACACAACACGTTTGACTTGGATAAGTATGTAAAACTTTGCAACGTAGAACAACAGACGACAAAGGGGATTCAGTGCTGGCAGTCGCACGTTTGACTTAGATGAGTATAAAAAAAACCTCGCAACGTAGAACAACACGCGACAAAAGGAACTCAGTGCTGGAAGTTGCAGTCGACCTCAAGAGCGGGACACCCGTCCGGATGGTTCTCGTGAAACCAGCAAGGCTTCACCTTCCTCAGAGGCGCGCTAGCGTTCCGTCTCCTTCGCTTCTGCTTGTCAACCGTGCCGGGAATCCTAAACTGCACTTTTCCCTGACCGACGTTGAAGATATGACTGTGATTCTTCAATAGAGTTTGCAGCCCGCCGCACTCGTTTCGCAGCCGCAGCAGCAACCAGGGCGCGATCAGCTTCGCCGCCTCGCCGACGTCGATCTGCCCGCCGGCGTTCCACGTTGCACCGGGTCTCCGCTCCAACGGTATCCTGCGACCCGCGCGGAGGAGGTGCGCCGCGACCGCGTTGACTATCTCCAGGACCAGCCCTTTGTCCAACTGCGTGCAGTTCCGCGTTCGTTCCGTCGAGTCCCTCGGTTTGAAGCTCGCGGACCACGGCTCGCCGTTCTCCGTCCCGGTCTTTGCGCTGTCCACTTGGGATCGCGCGTTTATGATCCTTTGGATCTCGGCGTCCAGCGCCGCGATATTCTCCCTCGCGTATGTCCTCTTCCATCCGACGAAACAGATCCGCTTGGTCGACGGGATTCGCAGTCTGTCCGTCAGTGTGAGGAAACCGCAGCCCTCGCACACGCCTCTAACGTAGCTCATGTAATCCGAGTACTGGCTCTCGCTGGCGATGCGCCGCCGATACTTGCTGCCGTCGAATTCGTAGGCGCAGCACGGCAACAGGAAAAACCGGCACTCGTAGGAACTGCGCGCGGCGATCACCGGAATCCACGGGGTGAGCTCGTCCGAGTGATTCCCTATGACCCAATCCACGCCGGGGAAGACCGTGTCCGAGGATGGAACGATGGTGCCGACCTACAACGCCACGTGATTACTAAAGTGAAACGTACAAGCGATAAAACGGGACATTGTTGAATATTACGTTTGCCCAGAAATCTGTTGTTTGTCAATTTCTAATGTAGACGAAGTAAAAAGATTACTCATCGCGAGAAGTACAATAAATTGTCGGCAATCAGCACAAAACCTCTAAGGGACGTCTTGGGGACGTCACTTGGAAGTTCATGCTGTGTGAGAAAGGAGCAACGCGGACGTAATTGTGGGCCGAGCTCGAGCAGGCGGCAGTCGAATTTTTCACGCACTTGTAAGCGAGTGCCCTCCGGGAACAGATCCCAGATCTTCCGCCTGCGCAAATCGATCCCCGTCCCCCTGTGACCCTCGCTAGACAAGATGTGGACGAGAAGGCCGTTCCCGCAGCCGAGATCGACGAACGACTGCGGCTCCTGGGCGCCCGTCTCCAGCCTCTCCTTCTCCCAGAGCAGCAGCAGGTAAGTCGCGATCGCGACGTCCTCGTAGACGAATTTCGCCGGGTCCGTGTTCTCCGGCCACGCGCTCACCATTCCCGCGCCGTACTTGCCCTTGAGCCGATTGTACAGCTGGGTGTACCTCTCGACGGAGACGAGGCTGAGGGAGCTGATCCTCTGATCGACGGCACCGTGCTCGGTGTCCATCCATCTCGTCAACCGCGGCAAGAACTTGGATCTCAGCCAGTCGCGGCCGCCGCGGCTACCGCCGTCCGTTTCGCGCACGTCTATACACGTAGAGACGTACTCGCGGTGCCGTATCCTGTAGGCCGTATTCGGGCCCAGGGACTGCTCACGCGGGACGATCGGTTTGTGGAAACTGGTAACGCTCGTCGATCCTCTGTCGACGAACAGGAATTCCAACGTGGACGAGAATATCTGCGTGTTGCGCGGCAGCAGCTTCCTCACGCGCAGATACGTCCCGACGTCGTCCGCCGCCTCGACCGGGTCCGCGCGCTGAACCAACTGGCAATACTCGGCGAGGCCCAGGATGTCTGAAAAGTGCTTCGCGTCCGCCGCGGATGAGTCGCCCTCAAAATCCTCGGGTTTGACCCGCAGCTTCTCAACGTGCTCGAGAATATCCGGAATGTCGCGGCACACCCGGGCCACCAGCAGCTCGTGAAACCCCAGGATCCGACGGTTAACGACGTGAGGGTTCCTCAGCCAGATCCCAATGGCTCGCCAGAACTGCAAGTTACTGCCGTCGCTGCTTTCGCTGGCGACCTCCTCGAAATTCATTTTTTTTCCCTACCTGATACTAACTTGCCACGTGCGCTTGGTATGTTACAACGTGTCGACTTATCATTTGGACGTCGGTGCACCGCCCGGCTGGTTGTACTGCCGAAGAGTATAGAGAAGAGTACGAGTCAGCATTGATTCGGATGTCGGATTTTGATGAGCAAGTCGATATAGCGAGAGCGTTTACCTTCTGTATCACCCACTTGGCGTCCAGCAGCGCCTGCTCCATGATTTGCTGCACGCGTTCCTCGTCGGACTCCGAGGCGTGCTGCTTGAAACTCTGGGGAAAACAATGCCCGCCAACAGCAAGAGATTTACTTGGGTAATTCAGCGCGAGAAAGACAATTGTAATAGCCATTAGATATTCATTAGGGATATTGATACTTCAACAGACTCTCAGTTTAGGATCGGGCCCGTCAAGCGGACAGGTTATTGCTACGTGGGAAAATCGCTCTGCGATCACCTACTTGTTTCACCGAGTGCTTGTAAAACTGCTGCGTGTGTTCCGGCAGCTTCTCGCATTCGCGCAATAGGTATTTGTACAGCTTTTTAGGCGTGTTCACCGTCGCGCTGCCGAGCACCCGATTCGCCATCGTAGCGCGGAGGTGCACGTGGTGCTCCGAGCGCCTCTTCTTCCCGTTCGCGTAATGTCCGCGCGATTTTCGCTTACATCTCGAACGTACCCGATACTGATAAAATAGAAAGACCTCCGCTCGAAGCAGATTTGCGTCAATTAACAGCACAGGCAAATTATGACTTTATTATAGAACTATGTGGCTCATATCCCATACAGCACCGAAGTTTTCAGAAACATTGCAACAATGTTTTCTGAAATGTCTCTGAAAGCTTTGGTGCTGTATGGGCAGGGTTGGGAAGTAACTCGTTACTTGTAACGAAGTTATAGTTACAGTTACTTCTTTTTGGTAACTCTAACTTAACTTCGTTACTTTTTCTACATCTGTAACTGTAACTTAACTCAGTTACATTTTTTCGATAACTAGTAACTAATTTAACAGTTACATTAAC